ATAAACGCTTAAAAGGGTAATTTCTGAAGAAAAAGTTAAATTGAGCCGACAATTTAGCCGCCGCCGCCGACCTAAATTGGTTGCGCCGCCGCCGCCGATCATTTTGCATCGGCTTGTATCTCTGGTTTGAAGCCACCATATGAATTAAATAGAAAAATTCGTATTTCTGAGAAATTATTATAGCAAGAATCTTTAAATTTTACATGAAGAACTTTGACCTTCATCTGAACATTTTGAGGAAAATTAGCGGAATTTCAATGGGGCGCTTGGTACCTCCCATATGAATTAAATACAAAATATAATATTATTCACATTTTTCATATGCAACATTAAAATCTTTATTAACGTTTGGAATATTTGGCAAACTTGCAATAATTTGTGTGGTGTATCCCATATGTAAAAAATTTTATATCTGGAAAACTTTAATATTTAGAATTTTCAAAATCGTTAAGTGGGTTTTTTATTTATATTGCTTTAAGGCACAAAAGGGCACTGGGTATAGCTAGTTTTATTATAAACATGTTAGAGTCCTATATTCGCCGAAATAATAGACCTATTTCAACTACTTTCAATAGGCTTTCCTTGGATCAAAAGGATAATGTGTGCCCACAAGGTTTACATGGACACACAGACGGACAGACAGATAGACAAACTGACAGACAGACATACAGACAGACAGATAGACTGACGTACACACAGACCTAGTTTAATCGATATGCTTTAAAGTGGGTGTAGGATCAATATTTTTGGATGACAAATCTAGATCAAATAATGACGTGAATAAAACCATCAATACAAACGAAGAATAGCAATCAGTCTATTGTGATTTTAATGTATAATAGTTTAGTATTACTATTTGATATATATTTTGCAGATTATCAAAAGTTTAACCAACTCCTTTATTAAATCACCTTGATGGATTTAAACACAATTCTTTGCATTGAAATTTTAATTCACAATTTTAATTTGAATAAAACTATATTATAACGGCATAATTTAAAACTAAAACATAATTTAAACCTAAAATTAAATGAAGGTAAAATCATAATTGCTAAGTATTTGAGTATTTCTATGTAATATAATTTATTTTAATATAACTTAATGAAACACACATAAAAAATATTAACCGTTAATTGGAACTAATATGTTAAACATCGGAACTAACATTTTAAACAGTTATACATGTAAATTTAAATAAAACCCAGAAACCTATTAAATAATAAACTTGCAAACCACAATACAAGATCAATCGATCGATCTCACATGCTTATTAAAAATTATACACCACTTGCACATGTGTATGCTTAGTTAGCTTCCGATATTTTTCAATTCAAACTTCCTGCTTCCATTGTTAAAGCGATATGAATTTAAAATATGAAATTTAAACAACATAAACTTATGATGTTTAGAAATTTAAAATCATAATAATACAAAAGTTAAAATTAAACAAAACAGTTGTTAAAAACATTCAAGAGCAATTAATCAATAAAGACTTTTTAACACAAATATACAGAGATACACAGTTGCGTGAATAGAAACCAAAAAAAAAAATACTAATACCGCCAAATAGAAAACGTTTATGATTTAAATTTCAAATTTAACAGATGCCAAATATTTAATGAAGAAACAAAAAGACAAAATTTAAAGATGTGTTGAGGTATAATGAATTATTAATATTTACTAAAAGCGTAAACACAACTAAAACGTTAGAATGAAGGGGTTGGCGATAAAAAAATATTTAGGAAATATTTCTATGAACAGTTATTAATCATAATATAGTTTTACAGTTCAGCTATCTGAACCCTTGCTACGCTACAATACAAACACGAAATCTTTAAAAATAAAGTATACTAAATTTCTATTAGGACAAACTTTTGTAATATGGAAAATTTGGATTTTCTAAAACTAAGCATAAAATACTGGATTCAAGTATGGTTCGATCAAACACAAAAATCTTTAAAACTTTTGAGAATCAAAATAATCCTTCAACCTAGTGTATTTTGAATTTCACTTGTTTCCATGATTTTAAATAAATTCACTACCAATATCTCAAATAAAAAAGCTGAGAGATTAACATAACCAGATTAAGAGAAAATTTTTTATGTTTTCACTCAAATTATCGATTTTTAGTAGGAAAAAGTACTGATCACATATTTCGCTTGTTTTTATTCTATCTTTTATAGTTTTTGAGAAAAACGGACTTTTATATTTTAACTCAAAATATTGATTTTTAGTAGAAACAATTAGTGATCACAGATTTCGCTTGTTTTTGTCCTTTCTCTTATAGTTTCCGAGAAAAACGGACTTTTATGTTTTCACTCGCTCAAACTATTGGTTTTTACTAGGAAAAGTTAGTGATCACAGATTTCACTTGTTTTTGTCCTATCTCTTATAATTTTCGAGAAAAACGGACCTTTATGTTTTAGTAGGAAAATGTAGTGATCACAGATATCACTTGTTTTTGTCCTATCTCTTATAGTTTTCGAGAAAAACGCACTTTTATGTTTTCGCTCAAAATATTGGTTTTTACTAGGAAAAAGTAGTGATCACAGATTTCGCTTGTTTTTGTCCTATCTTTTATAGTTTTCGAGAAAAACGGACTTTTATGTTTACGCTCAAAATATTGGTTTTTAGTAGGAAAAAGCAGTGATCACAGATTTCACTTGGTTTTGTCCTATCTCTTATAGTTTCGAGAAAAACGGACTCTTATGTTTGCACTCAAAATATTGGTTTTTAGTAGGAAAAAGCAGTGATCACAGATTTCACTTGTTATTTTCTTATCTCTTATAGTTTTCGAGAAAAACGGACTTTTATGTTTTCACTCAAAATATTGGTTTTTAGTGGAAACAAGTAGTGATCACAGATTTCGCTTGTTTTGTCCTATCTCTTATAGTTTTCGAGAAAAACGGACTTTAAGTTTTCGCTCAAAATATTGGTTTTTAGAAGAAACAAGTAGTGATTACAGATTTCGCTTGTTTTTGTTCTATCTCTTATAGTTTTCGAGAAAAATTGCTTTTTATGTTTTCACTCAAAATATCGGTTTTAGTAGGAAAAAGTTTTGATCACAGATTTCACTTGTTTTTGTCCTATCTCTTATAGTTTTCGAGAAAAACGTACTTTTATGTTTTCACTCAAAATATCGGTTTTTAGTAGGAATAAGTAGTGATCACAGATTTCACTTGTTTTCGTCCTATCTCTTATAGCTTTCGAGAAACACAGACTTTTTGTTTTCACTCAAAATATCGGTTTTTAGTAGGAAAAAGTAGTGATCACAGATTTCGCTTGTTTTTGTCCTATCTCTTATAGTTTTCGAGAAAAACGGACTTTGATGTTTTCACTCAAAATATCGGTTTTTAGTAGGAAAAAGTAGTGATCACAGATTTCGCTTGTTTTTGTCCTATCTTTTATAGTTTTCGAGAAAACGGATTTTAAGTTTTCACTCAAAATATCGGTTTTTAGTAGGAAAAAATTCTGATCACAGATTTCACTTGTTTTTGTTCTATCTCTTATAGTTTTCGAAGAAAACGGACTTTTATGTTTTCACTCAAAATATCGGTTTTTAGTAGGAAAAAGTAGTGATCACAGATTTTACTTGTTTTTGTCCTATCTCTTATATTTTTTGAGAAAAACGGACTTTTATGTTTTCACTAAAATTTTCGGTTTTTGGTTTTGCGATACTTTAAATTACATTTAACTTTTAATAATATTAGGAGAATAAAGTTATCAGCTAATGTTGCAACTATTTCTTTTTTATTAAAATCGAATTGAAACTCCGAATCTTTACACTACAGTTAACTTTTAATACGATTTTGATTATTGGGAATTCCGAGAGTACTATTACATGGACATCAGTAGCACGTTATTCAATGATGATCAGCTAATGTTAAGATTAATTATATTCTATAAAGATTTAAGACTTTAATTTGCAGTTGACTTTTGAAACTATTGGGAGAACTAAATTAATATTGAGAGCTCAGAAATTATCATTCCATGCACACGATCACCATTTTTGTCAATCCAGATCAATTAATTACTGATCCTGATCCACATTCAGAAATAATTTTAGTTTTATATTAGCTGATGAATTTTGGTTTTCTAACGTAAATATTTCGATCCATATTCATATTTAACAAAGTCGAATTTGAACTTCGCGTTTTTGAATTGATCATGACTTTTAAAACTTGAAATATTATTTAGAATACCAAGAGCATCATTTCATTATATGGCTCTCTGCTGATCAAAGGTAGGATCGAATTATTCTATCCTTAAATGTAAGTTCCATCTAAAACTTCGCATATGAATGCGACAAAGATATAATAAATGAAAACTCATAAGTGATTTTATCTGATCTTCAAAGATCATGATCAGTTTTTACTGCTTCGTGTCGCTGAACGTTTTCATTCTGTTTTTGCACTTTTAAACTCACATTTTATGTGAAATTTTATTTACGTTTAACGTTATAAAAACTATTTCAAATTAATGGACATGTGTTTAAGACAAAGATTTCATATTTATTTTATTTCCTACAACAAATATGGCTTAACAAATCAAAGAGCCCAAATTCTATTGTTTATTTACAACAAAAGACCGGTACTGGTTTTTCAAACCATTTTGGTCGAATATGAAGTTTAAGTTTCAAATTCTTAAACACACGACTGATAAGAGAAATTAATGAAAAAAAAAATGATCAAGACGCCTAAATGACTAGTTTTAAGTTTGAATATTTTTTGATTTTTGTATGGCTAGAAACTGGGTTATTTTTATGCAAATTATTAAGATGATGCTGAAAACTCTTTGATCAGAGATTTTTGTTTGATTTTTTTAAGGTTTGTATGGTGGTCTCTTTTTTGCGTGTTATGTTGTTATAGGCAAGTTTTAGTTTGAGAGGGTTCTAAGTTATGTTTTGAAAATTTCAAGTTTTAAGAAGATTCGCATAAAATGTTTTCATTATTAATTATGCTTTAGTATTTTTAGTTTTTGGGGATTTTACACAAAAAAAATTTTAGTATAAATGGCTGTTCTTGTTGGATTGCTTGATTAGTTAACGCTTCGACGTTTCTTTCATTGGATTACTAATTTGTGGATTATGAAGCCCTTCGTTACTTTATTAATGGTTTTGGCTGCTTTGGCCGCTTGCGGTCAAGCCCACACCGTACAAAAACGCTCTTTGGGCTCTTTGTTGGGTGGTGGCGGCAGCGGTGGTGCTGGTGGTCTTGGTGGATTAATCCAGGCTAAACTTAGCTTGTTAGGAAACCTTGGTGGTGGTGGTGGTGGCGGTGCTGGTGGTTACAGTGGTGGTCATGCTTCTGCTGGTGGATACAGCGGCGGTGGCGGCTACAGCGGTGGTCACAGTGGTGGCTACAGTGGCGGTCACTCCGGTGGCTACAGCAGTGGTGGTGCCAGCTATGGTGGAGGAGCTGCCCAAAAGGTTATTCTCGTAAATGTTGTCAGTGATTCCGGTGCTGGCGGTCATGGTGGCAGCTACGGTGGTGCTTCTGCTGGAGGTTATGGCGGTAGCTACGGTGGCGGTTATGGTGGTTCTCACGGTGGCAGCTATGGTGGCTCTCATGGTGGCGGCTATGGTGGCGGCTATGGTGGTTCTCATGGTGGCAGCTATGGTGGCTCTCACGGTGGTGCTTCCCACGTTCAGGTTTACAAAGTCATCCACCAATCTGGCGGTGCTTCTGCTGGCGGTTATGGTGGCGGTTATGGTGGTGGTTATGGTGGTGGTCACGGTGGTGCCAGCGCTGGTGGCTGGAGCCAAGGTGGTTCATCCTGGTAAATTTTATAATTCACCAGTTAATTTCACCAAAAAGCATATCCACAAATTAGTGTTAATTTAGTAGTTTAAGTCAAACAAAATAAACAATATAAATTTTTTTCAAAAACAAACATTTGTTTAAATTTAGGTAAAAACTTTTACTTTAAATTTATGAATAATTAAAATACTAAAAAATATTCTCTTAGAAGGAACTAAAAAACTAAAAAAAATTCAAGATTTTAAAGTCAAGGTTAACCAGGAAGTCGAGGTTAATTAGTTCTAAATCCACAAAAGAATTAATATTTAGACACAAATTTTACAAACTAACCTCAAAACTTCAAACATCCGTTTCTAAAAATTTCCATACTAAATATTAAAATATGATTTTACAAAATTAGCACATTTTTTTTAAACATAAAATTTACTTGTTGTAACCAAGAGCTATAAATTTAAATATTTTTCCCTAAGCAACAATATTTTTATTCAAAATATTTCTTTTAAAAACATTCTAAATAATTCAACATTCGCTCAATATTTCATGCCAACTTTTTATTTTTTCATTAATTCTCAACCGAACTTGTTCTTCTAGTTTTCTTTAAAATTATTTATGCTTTTTAAAATTTTCTGATTTCCATAAGAATCTTCTTGATTAGTATATGAAATTTTGTTTTCTTGTTTTGCTAGCAAAACAGAAATCTTGAATTCTATCGTTAATTTGTTTCATTAGCGATTTGCATAATTTAACTATCTAAGCTTACATCACTTTATTTTCGTTTATGAAGATCTTCAAAATGAAATAAATGATACAAAATATAAAATTTTATATTAACTTATGATCATATTTGCTTTCAGAAATTTAAATTTTAGAATGTAAATTGAATAGTAATTAAGTCAATTGGGGACTCCCCACCATTAGAGCAATTATTAATGTTAATAATCAATAAGTTTTTTTTTTAATAAATAATTGCAATCTCAATCACATTTGTTAATTTCAGATGAGCATTTAATAAATGGCATATTGCTTTTATGATTGACATCATTTTGTAAGATCAATCTTTTAAATAGACAAGAGAATTTTTAAGTGTCAGAAATAAAGTTTTTTTTTATTAAAAATTATATGTATAAGTAATCTGCACTTAAAATTAACACCTAAAAAGTATCTGAAGTATACTTAATAATCTCTGATACAGTTTTATAGATAATAATAGAATGACTGAACTGACTAGAACTGAACTAGAACTGAACTAGAACTGAACTAGAACTGAACTGAACTAGAACTGAACTAGAACTGAACTAGAACTGAACTAGAACTGAACTAGAACTGAACTAGAACTGAACTAGAACTGAACTAGAACTGAACTAGAACTGAACTAGAACTGAACTAGAACTGAACTAGAACTGAACTAGAACTGAACTAGAACTGAACTAGAACTGAACTAGAACTGAACTAGAACTGAACTAGAACTGAACTAGAACTGAACTAGAACTGAACTAGAACTGAACTAGAACTGAACTAGAACTGAACTAGAACTGAACTAGAACTGAACTAGAACTGAACTAGAACTGAACTAGAACTGAACTAGAACTGAACTAGAACTGAACTAGAACTGAACTAGAACTGAACTAGAACTGAACTAGAACTGAACTAGAACTGAACTAGAACTGAACTAGAACTGAACTAGAACTGAACTAGAACTGAACTAGAACTGAACTAGAACTGAACTAGAACTGAACTAGAACTGAACTAGAACTGAACTAGAACTGAACTAGAACTGAACTAGAACTAGAACTGAACTAGAACTAGAACTGAACTAGAACTAGAACTGAACTAGAACTGAACTAGAACTGAACTAGAACTGAACTAGAACTGAACTAGAACTGAACTAGTTCAGGAGCCAAAACAAAATGATAAAATAAAGAAATTAAGAAAAACAATATAGAAAAGAATACAAAACAATTTTTTTAGTCAATTAAAAAATTAATTGTATCAATTAAAAATGTAATCCAATTAGTAAACTTACGTTTTAAGTAATGAGATAAATAAAAATTGCTCAAAAAATAACGAAAATACAAGTTAATTGAAAACGAATTACCAATAATTTCTGTGAAGAAACTAATAAACACAAATTAAGATTCCAGCCATGCTTATTATTTATGCCTTGACTGTTTACCAAAAATATTCACTACTTTGGTATTTTAGTCAAATTTTACCTAAGAAAAAAATGCTTACCTAAAAATATGCTACTAACTATTAGTTAATTTAAAATTAATTTGAAATAAGCTTTTATTATTAAAGCTTTTAGCATAAAAACTAAATAATATTATTTAGTTTTTTCTTCATTTGTTAACTTTTTTCATAGTAACAGTTAAATAGTTTTAATATATCAAATATTGACTTTTAACTTACTGTTCACAAAGAAAAAATAATATGTAATTATAATTGTACACGAAATGTCTGGAGATTCTATTTATTTTATGAAGTAAAATATTAGTTAAAAAAGATTAAGTGGCGTTAGGTTTTTTTTAACGTTAAGAGGCATTTATTTTATTAAACGTTTTGTTATTTATAGAAATAATTTTTGTGTAAAAATGATCATTGCAATGATTTACTGCTTAATTATTGTCTAAAAGTAATAGAAATTGAAAAAAATATTTTTTTTACTAAAAATACGATTTTCAACTCAATACTGGATTTTCAATTGAAATTCGATTTTTCAGTTAAAAGGTGTAAATTCACTACAAGTGCAATTTGTCACTCTTTTCAACTTAAAACTCGACTTTTTTTCTCTATTTATTGAACACCCTTATTAATAACGCCCCTAACTCTATAACAATTAGTCTTTGTCGAAACAAGAATTAATTCGCTTGTAAATACCTCCGTTTACTACTCTATTAAATTTAAATTAATAAACCTGAACTTGACTCAAATTTTTCTAAACTTAAAGCAAAAATGATTTTTTGATAAATGATGAAACTTTAATTGAATTTAAAGCCACAACCACAAATTTGTTAAGGTATTCAAAATGACACAGCATTTCGAGCAAAAATACCACCAACAAAATCAAATCATTTTTCATTTAACAACAACCCAAATACATTTTTAAAATAATAACTAAAATACCTACAAAAAAAAAAATATTAAATAATATTCATATTGATTGATTTATTTCACGATGTCTGCGAAATAACATAAAATAGATCTAAAAACTACTAGCAAAAACCTATAAATGTCGCTTATAGATCAAAATTACAAAATACAACACAAAACAAACTCATAACGTTAAGTTAAACCGACAGACTAACAACAAATCGTATCCACCACCTACAATTTACTTAAATTGAAAGAAAACTTTAAAACAAAATCAAATTTATTATGAATCATAAAAATTTAACATTTATTATGATCATTATATGGGCAGCAGCACTTGATACATGTCGGGGTTCTGCTCTACAAAGCGACACCACAATCACCACCCATTGGCCGCCAAAGGTGCTTAAACCACAAATAAATTGGATACAACCAGCACCTTCACCATTTCGTAAATTATCATCAGCCGCCGACTCATTACAACAGCAAACCTTTAATGAAGCTGAGTCACCTTTAAGAATCGATCGTAAATTACTATTTGATCATTCAACTGTAAGATCAGCTGGATCAGCAACAGCAATGGACTTGCACAATAATGACATTAATCCATATGCACAAAGTTTAAATGCGGAATTGGAAATTGCATTTGCAACAGTTGCATCATATAACAACAACAATAACAATAGTAATAACAACAAAGACTTTACTGGAAAAACTTTACCTGTGGCTGCAACAAATAATTTAAATGTAGATCAATCACCTACAGGTGCTGTTGCCTCCACTGATGTTGATGCTGTTTCATTAGACTGGCATCGTTATTTTACCATGGAGGAGGTTAGTTCAATGCAGCAGCGACCAGAACAACAACAGCACTCCGATTTAAAGGCTGCTGAGGTTTATCAAGCCAAACGTTCGAGAGAAATGATTTTTAATAAATCTTTATAAATTTAGCAGTTAGTTTTTGTTATCTTTAAGCTGTTGTTTAATTTGCCATACATTTTTAATTAATTTTGTGTTTTGTTTTTTTTTTTTTAGATTTAGTTTAGATTTATTTAATCTAGTTAAAATTTATGTTTTAATCTGTGGGCGTTGAAGATTTTTTACGAAATTTTTAATGTTGATGAAATGCATCTTTAAGAGGAGATTTTTCAAATAAAGTGATTTTAAAGGAAATTAAAAACATGTTCGAGCATATATTTCCCAACACATTTTAGCATAATTTGAAATGAACTAGATGAGAAATAGAACTGAACTAGAACTGAACTAGAACTGAACTAAAACTGAACTAGAACTGAACTAGAACTGAACTAGAACAGAACTAGAACAGAACTGGAACTGAACTAGAACTGAACTAGAACTGAACTAGAACTGAACTAGAACTGAACTAGAACTGAACTAGAACTGAACTAGAACTGAACTAGAACTGAACTAGAACTGAACTAGAACTGAACTAGAACTGAACTAGAACTGAACTAGAACTGAACTAGAACTGAACTAGAACTGAACTAGAACTGAACTAGAACTGAACTAGAACTGAACTAGAACTGAACTAGAACTGAACTAGAACTGAACTAGAACTGAACTAGAACTGAAATAGAACTGAACTAGAACTGAACTAGAACTGAACTAGAACTGAACTAGAACTGAACTAGAACTGAACTAGAACTGAACTAGAACTGAACTAGAACTGAACTAGAACTGAACTAGAACTGAACTAGAACTGAACTAGAACTGAACTAGAACTGAACTACAACTGAACTAGAACTGAACTAGAACTGAACTAGAACTGAACTAGAACTGAACTAGAACTGAACTAGAACTGAACTAGAACTGAACTAGAACTGAACTAGAACTGAACTAGAACTGAACTAGAACAGAACTGAACTAAAACTGAACTAGAACAGAACTGAACTAGAACAGAACTGAACTAGAACAGAACTGAACTAGAACAGAACTGAACTAGAACAGAACTGAACTAGAACAGAACTGAACTAGAACAGAACTGAACTAGAACAGAACTGAACTAGAACAGAACTAGAACTG